TATATATATGTATATATAATTCTTTTAGAATACTCTACGATAATGTATTTATGACGATAGATAGAGTGTGTATGCATATGTACAAAATTCATAATAAAAGACGTTTCGCGAGACTCTACCACGATGACCAGTGCAATCCATTTATCGGATACTCGTGAATAGATTCAGAACAGACTTGTTTTCTTTCTGACTGCGGGCCTTACTGAATACATTCCAGAAGCGCAGAGTCTCGTCGCCCGCCCCGGTAACAATCGCCTCGCCATCGGGCGACATCGCCAGGTAGAGCACCCGATACGAGTGCCCGGTGAGCTTGGCCACTTGCGTGAGGCTCGGGTATTTCCACACGAGAATCTGATTCTGCGAGTAACCGTGCGTGCTGACTAACTCAGAGCTGTGCTTGCTCCACGCTAAGTTGCAGACCTGTGAGCCGGTGTCGACACATTGCATCGGTTGACCGGTCAGCGTATTCCAGAAGCGAATACAACGGTCGGCGGTGCCGCCACCGGACGCCAGCAGGCCATGATGATGCGGTGACCAGGCAATCGCTTTCACCGCCGCCAGGTGTTCGGTGTATGTCTGGATGGGTGAGAGGGAGTGTAAATTCCATACGTAGAGTCGATTGTCATTGCCGCCAGATGCCAAGTACTGATTGTCCGGTGACCACTTGAGGCCACACACCTCCTGCCGATGGGCACCAAGTCGCCGTTCGCCGACAATACATGGCGTCCTCACGTCTCTCTGCAGTATCAACCGATCCCTGCTGCCAGATGAGAGAACCTCTCCGTTCCATGCCAGGGCTCCCACTCGGGCGCTATGGCCCTGTAGCTTACTCACCTGCTTGTTCACTGCTACATCCCAGACCTGTATATAGCCCATATGCGTACCTACCGCCACCAGATTGCCACGCTCGTTCCAGGCGACCGAAGTGACACTGTTGCCATCGCTGGACAGATCGCAGAGTCTCGTCACCTGGCTGGTACACGCTGACCACAAATAAACGCAACTTCCTAGGCCAACGCTAAGAACATTCTGAGAGGACCAGTCGACCAGATTCAGATAGAAGTCGTCCTGCAACTCCGGAGCATCTAGTACTTTGAAGGGTATTCTTGATATCTTCCTAGTAGCCTTTCTGGGAGATCTCAATAATTTTTGACTCTTGGCACTAAGTGGTGATAAGGAGTATGGTGAACTTTGATCCAGCAGGGTCCGATCCTTGGTGGGAGTGGTGTACTTGAAGAGGTTCTTAGTGACTAATGGCGAGAGTACCCTGCGTTCTTCGCATTGGCCCTTTACGTCCTCTATGCTTGCTCCGAGTAGCTCGTTCTTCAATAGACAGGAATAGGCGATACCGTCACGGCTACCCTCGCCATTCTCTCGTGTCTTCTTCGCCACCAGGCCGCCCCGGCCATTCTCGCTAATCATAGAAAACGTCGTTTGCCAGTTATTACCTGAACGGGTAGGTATGAAGCGGTCGTAGCTGTTGTTGTACGCCGTCTTCGTGGGTGAGAAGTAGATGGGAGAGTAAGTGGCAACAGTGGTGCTAGACAACGTCGCTGTGCCCGTCACCGTCGAGATGTCCGTGCTCATCGGCTTCAGCAGCCGTTTCTCGTATTCGTGATGAAACATGATGCGACGTGAGGGATACGTGTCCCACCTTTGCCGCACCAAGGCAATACTCCTTATCTCTTTCACATAATTAACGGCACCGCCAACGCGCCTCCCGTATGCACCGTCGTCGAGAGACCGTAGGAGCTCGCTACGACTACTCCGCAATTGATCCCCAGGCCTCGGAATATGTCACAAGCTCATTCCCGGAGCCTCCACTACTCCGCGATACGTTCCGTTTAACTTTTTCGGACGGTTTGAGATCTGAACTTGCTGGCCACCGTCCGTCGTGTTAGCAGCCTTGCCGTCGCCATTCGACGTCAGAACTCGCAGGATTCGAGAATCGAGGAGCTCGCACGAGGTCTCGAGCGATTGCCTCGTGTCCGCCAATAGAAACGTGTCTCGGAATACGAATATCGAAGGGGAAGGGTAGTCAAGCTTATTGACCGTTTTTGTCCCTTTATTGATTACTTTACAGCACACTATTCTTGGAATGATAATAAATATTATATCGTATAAACAATACAATAAATACCATATAATACAATACAATAAATTAATTGTATTGTATATACGATATATTTATTATCATTCCAAGAATAGTGTGGCGTGTAGTAATTAATAAAGGAATAAAAACAATCGATAAGATTAATTTCTCTTCCTCTTCGTATTCTGAGGCACATTGTATATATTATAATATATTATAATATAATAATAAATGTATATAATATTGTATATAATATTGTATATACAATACATATATACGATACATATATACAATACATATATATGATATATCATTTATTTGCAACTAAAATAACG